ATCAGACAATTGTTTCTATGCGCTATATTAATAAATGTACAAACAAACAGCAGCACGGACGATGCATATTGTTGCGTGTTTCACTTATGATGCGATGTTAACATTTATTAACGAAACATAACACTGGAAATCATGATGCGTCAACTAAACGTGCCTATTTACATTTCATATAAATCTAAGCGGTTCGTGTGGAGTGTTCAAAATGAAAAATTATTGCAAGCTAATAGTTTTTTAATTTAGATAATAAAAACATGAACTTTTTTGTCTAAAATTGGGCAAAGGTCTCGTCCAATTTTAGCGGTTAACAATGAATTCGAACTAGGAAACGATTACGATAGGGCGTGGCAACACAACCATGGTAAAGTTAATGCAACACAATTGTGATCACATGTACTACAAATCTATCAATTTGTGCAAACGGTCCGACGTCAACACATCACTTCATTAGAGACGGTTGCCATCTTTTAATTCAACAGTCAATGTTCGTTGCTAACTAAAGTACATTACTGCTTATACTGTGAACCTACCTCGTTGGTCGCCGTTGTAATATGTATCGTATAGAATTAAAGCACTTGACTTGTAAACTGCAGGTCCTGGGTTCAAATCCCGCCATGTACTAATGTGTTTTTCGATTTACATATGCACATTTATCCGACGTACATCGTCGAACGCAAAGGAAAATATCGTGATGCAATACATAAGAAATTCAAAGATATGTGTGAAGTCTACCCGCATTGGGCCAGCGTTGTTGATGACTTAGGATAGGCTCCGAGCCTCTAATTGGAAACTTATAATGAGCTGATGATGATGATGATGTCATATCGCCTAAATGAGATTCTATTGGCAATAGCAATAGTACCATACTTCTCGAAGGAGTATTAGTAAATGATCAATTGTTAGATATAAATGAAAAACATACAATTTTATGTATTCCCATTTCCACATGTGTTGGTGACCTACACAAGTGGTGTTCCCATTAAGTATTACGAAATGTGAGCGAAATTCTGTAAACATTGTGCGGGCGATACTTGTTGGGTCGGCACTACACTGCAGCGGCACTTCATGCAAGTGACGTCACACACGTGCGTCCAAGCGCGCGCACGTTGCGTGCGTACGCGCAGTCGCATAAAAGCCCTCGATGCGAGTAGTCGCTTGTTAAATTGCTACTAATCGATGTTTCTATCGTAACGTAACGTGACATAAGTTGATTTTAATATTTTTTTTACGTGTAATAAATGGCCAGCAAGTCGAACGGTGTTGAAGGGTCGGAGTGGGCTCGGGCCCCACCCCCCACGGGGTCCTTTGGGGATAGAATTGCAAAAATTTTTTACGACCCCAGTGATGGAAGCATTTTGGGAAGAACGCCGAAGAGATGGGGTGAGATTTTTTTTGTGTAACTTCGTTTAAACTTACTGTCATCTTATAGTTTTTATTTTTTTATCTTACAATTATGTTTCTCAGTGTGCAAATTGTATTTTAAGTGAACAGTTTATATTAACTATTAGTTCCAATGTACATTGTATTAGAATAATCTATTTATTACATCACACAATGTACATATTCGTTGCTAACTAGCTGCATACGTCAATTATATCCATTATCAAATACCTAAATGTAATTAATCAAGGTCAAATGCCATTGACTTTTATATATTTTTAAACAAATGACAAGACAATAACAAATACTGGCTGAATGTATTTCGTTTTTTTTTTAATTGCAATCGGGCGATGTCAATAAATGGAGTAATTGATTATGTTCGCATGCGATGCCGCGTTACGCTCCAACTGACTCTAATCGACTCGTAAAATACTCTGAAAACGTCTCATAAATATGTCACTATGGGAAGTTTTTTAGCTTGTTTCCAAATAATTGTTTATAATTATTTGTCATCGAGAGTCCTTTAAGAGTTACTTAAGAAGCTGCTTAGTGTAGATTCCTTATACTACAAAATATACCATCTGATTGAGACCGTAAGCTCACCTAGTTTCCCGCCAATGGTTACTTTAACGATTTATTCGCTGAATCCTTTTTAACAGTAACAGTACGTGTCCTTTTCGGACAACCTATTTAAGATGAACTCTAAACTTTTGCAAAGTTGCAAAAAATTAATCTATAAATTATTGTTTAATAGTTCTTTGTAATAAATTCTACGACTTGTTTGGTTTTATATTAATTGATTCTTTTATCAAAGGTCACAAGGTATTTGTACGGCAGTATCGACATCTCCTTCAAATTTGTTCGCGTACTCAGCACGATAAGAAAGAATTTTGTTGAACATTTCTATAAGCAATAATTTTAATTAATAATAAAATAAAAAAAAATCAAAACTAGCTGTCGCCCTCTACTCTATCGGCTTGGAATTAAAAACAAAACGTTATAGGAGCCTATGTGTTCTTCCAGACTATATTCTACGTCTGTGCTAAATTTCATAAAGATCCGTTGAGCCCTTCTGGAGATATCTTTAGACATCCATCCATCTAAACTTTCGAATTTATAATATTATAATAGTAAAATGTAACATTAAATAAATGTATGAGATAAAATTTTAACGTCCGATTTTTAACAAACGAATGCAGATATTTTGGTATGCAAAAGAGACTGAATACTGGTCGTTTTTTCTAAGATATGTTTGTTTTCCCACAATTTATCGTTTCTTGGAGCGGCTGGATTCAATCTTCTTTACGATTTAGTGATAAAGAATACAAAGACATTTGTCTGGTTTATTTGTTAGTTTACATTTCGAAAGTAATTAAAAAGTAAATTATTCGTTTTTTTTTAAATATTTTATTTTATATCATAGATTTAAGACTATATGTAATTATAGAAATAAGGATGTATAATTAATTCAATTTTTATTAAAAAGTTGTGGAAATCAACGAGGCTCTTGGTCTATAATCTTTATTTTGTAGGTTATTATGTCATTAACCCCAGGGAAAATCGAGTTGGCCATGGTGATGCAAACTTTACAGCAAGATGGATAACATACTTTAAAGAATTTTTTGAATTCCGTTAACTATGCATATAAATGAAGCAATTACTTTAAATTGCATAGAAACCATAGAAATTTGTACACATTTGCAATTTTTTACTTCATTTTACTTCTACTACTACTTACTTATAACTTCTAATATAAATGCGAATGTTTGGATGGATGGATGGATGTTTGTTATAGATGTAGAACCAATACGACTTAGGGTCCTTCAAGAAGCGAGCCTATCACCACCTCAAAGTCCGGCAACGCATCTGCGGTTCCTCTGGTATTGCTGATGTCCATGGGCGTCGTTGAACACCTCGGTGTTCCCGCTGCTAGTTTGCCCTCTTCTGATATAAAAAAAAAGAAAAAAAAATACAGGCTGAAAGAACACATAGGCTAGTTTCCTTAATCCCGCGCGGACACAGTCGAGGGCGACAGCTAGTTGTATCATTATTCCTGATATATATTTCCATACCTAAATATTTATATTTACTGACGTTTATGATCATCTGTCTGCTTCCATTTGACAATTGCATAAGTTTTACACCTGACATTATAAAGACATAGTTATTGCGGTCATAAAAAACCGCAATAAAGTTCAATATTATTTATTCACGTATTATATAACCTGTCTATACGTACGAGGTTCCATTTCATTATTTTATCACGAGAGATGACGTTTAACTTAAATAAACGACAAGCAAAATAATTTCTGTGGTTGCGTTAACACAACTTTCTAAGTAATTTTTATCTTTTCTCCATAATTGATGAATTAAACGTTCCTATAGCTCAGGATCAATTAAGATTATTATACGGTTTGATGAAATGTGGATTACTGCACTGAAGTTCTTACATATTTTTAAAATATTAACTTTTTAAAGCGTTAATTGCTAACTTCACATCAGTCGATTAAACTTTGTACGAACTATATTCGCTTTGAAATGTAATGTGAGCAATCTGAGCGAAGGTCTTTATAGAAATCAATTCCGTTTGAGTTGTATGTGGGCCAGATGAATGTGTATAGAGGCCCTAGCGGCTCCCATCTGCATTCATTCGTGCCTATTGTAACTTCAAGGACACAACACAACCCGTTTTGTGTTTTAACATAGCAAGTATCGTGCTTTGTGAACAGATAAAGGTTTGGCCGAGGGTTTGTGGAAGGGTCGATCTCGCCTTGTGTTCAAGCTTGTATAAGTAGAAAACACGTTTTATTAATATTCTATTTATGTTATTTGGCTTTGAGTTATGTAAGATGTTTATTAGTTTGTGATTTAATGCTACAATCTTTAAATAACGTTGCTTATATTCAACGAAATAAATATACGAATTTATTGAAATTAACAATTTTGTAATACAATCTTATAGATTTAATATTTCGTACAAATATAAGGTATGTTCCCTTCCTGTATAACTCAATATAGGAAGAGGAAATGTCTTTCTATGCCTCCCCTCGTCTGTTCATTTAAGGAAGTCATGTCCGTTTAATAGTAGTAAAGCCAGCAACACCAACGTCTTTAGCACGGACGAGTCTCACCTGGTGTACACAGAAGACACGCCTCAATTGTCAAGCAATTCCTCGTACAGTCTGATCAGTGTGCCTGTCTGTTAATCCTTGTCGCGGCGGGATGTAATTGCTATTTCAGAAAACTCTAGAGTATATTTATTATAGTAAAATTTTACATCCAGTTATGTAAACAATATTAAATTAAAGCAACAAAACACACGTCGAATTCTCATAAACTAAAACGTGAGTATACAAGGGTTATTTATGTTTTGAACGTTCAGCACGTCACTACAAGATTCCTTCAACATTTGCTGAATTATAAACATGTTATTGTTTAAAATAAAATAACTGTGGATTTCGATTTTAGGAAGATTTGACGGATATTGTTGTCTCTGTTGTTTCAAAAGAGAATGCGAGAGATAGCATTGAATGTCAAAACAAGAGTCACTGCAGTGAAAATCTTCTGTTATAATTCAGTATTTAAATGTCTAGTTAACGTGTAATTATCATTTACTTAATTGTAATTACAAAATGAGATACCTTAGCAACGTGGCCTCAATAGATATGGAAATATTTGTTTTTATCTCAATTTTGTAATTAGCAACGTAAATTCCGACTATCATTATCAACGTAAATTCAGACAAAAGACATAGTCTAAAAGTAGTATAAAAAAACTTTGAAAAGCTTACATAAGAAATAAAATATATTTACTATTTACCCTTTTTAAAATCTAAACGGCATCGTTATTATAAAACTGTCCATTACTTTACGACTCTATAAAAAATATCATCATTACATATTTTATTAAATTCTTCATAGCTGTCACTTTTTGGCGGGAATCTGCACATTACGGCGGCCATTGTCGGTGTGGCCAGCACTTAAATACAAAACATAAAAATCAATTTATTTGCACTAAGGACGTAGAAATGCGTCCGAGTGCTATTTTAGGCGCCGCCACAACGGATTTAGCCGGTGCTTTCGTCACACGTATCGTCGCCGACATGGCGAATTGTTTCATTTTAAACTCTAATTGTTGTCAAATAAGGTATCAATTTGCGATCCAGGTGTTGGCTACCGCTTGCTCTTTTTCGTCATAGCGGTAGACTATTGCGTAAATTCAGCAATTGACATGGATACAGCGGCGAAGGGCTGACACCCTTCCGGTTGTTATTTGTCATACACAATTAATATTTATTACAATTACTATTTTCATATCATTCATATAAAATACACTTCATTAGTAATTGCATCACAGACAATAACTGATCCTTGTTATAAAAGAGCTGTTCCCGATCTAAGAAACCGGTACTTCTATTCAAAAAGTACCTACGTAATCCATGATTTCTTTTATTTAAATTTATTTTAAAATGTACGCTCTATTTAGGTCGATTGAGATAGATATGTTAATAGCCATTTGCCGATCTTATCGGGTCCAAATACGGCAGAAGTACATCACCTAAGAACGTGAACTTCTTAGTAAGGAATACATTTTCTAACTTATTGCTGGGGCATTGCCCTTTCAAGTCATGTGACCGATCAATATATTGGTGTTTGGCAAGCGACTTGGCAACAACATCGGAGTTTTTCGCATGTTATTCCCATTCCCTTACGTTCTTTTCTTAGTTTATGAGATAAATAGTTAACTTCCCGTGCCGACCACGCCTCGGCGATACCGTGTGCCCTTCGCTAGTGACGTGCGAAGACCGAATTAGTTCGCGGGCGATGTGTGCTCATCAAATTTAAATAGACTATAAAATCATAGACTGCCCTATTGAAATCACACCGTCTGTTGATCTAAACAGTAGATGTGTACGTTCGAGCGAGCGAAATTATGAATACAGTATTATTTCCTCTACCATTTAATACCAAGATGGTTCAGAACAAGTGTGTCGCCAACAGATAGAGATAGATAACACAAAAATAGTTGACAAGCGTTTTATTTGGAGTAAAAAATAATAATAGCTTAGCTCCCCTCCCCCCTCTTATCCGTCGGTTAGCGTTGATTTTGGTACAGAATAAAAATTCCTCCATCACGGGACTACAATATCCACTTTTTTCGACACAAATGCAACATCTATTTCCACTGGCGCTACTACTGTACAAAATTATAGACGCGCTAGAAGAACTTTAGTGTTAGTTTTTCAGTCAGCGGTCAGCTTTTAACTGGAAATAGACGTTTAGTTAATGAGGATTATATGTGTTATTGCAGGTATAGCAGTGGTGTTCTACTCGGTGTTCTACGCGGTGCTAGCTCTGCTGTTCTCACTGTGCATGGGCGGTCTCTTCCTAACACTGGACAACAACAAGCCTTCCTTCATACTTGACAGCTCATTGATAGGTGAGAGAGTTACAAATACATCCATCGCTTGAGTTGGCACGTGCGGTTTTAGAATATGCTTATTGCAGACGTGCCAATTCAAATGGCCAGTATAAATTACAGCTATTTATCTATTAGGTATTTAATGTTATTGGAGTTCAATATGTGATCGAATTGTTTTTAAAGCTCTTCACAAACTTTTAGAATTTATGTTAAACAGATCATTTTTACCTCTATAATATTTACATCTGCGGAAAGATTTCTGCATATCTGCATCTGCATCTGCATATTTTACTTATTGTTAATAACGTTTTCCTGCATTTTATACTAGTTTGAATGAATAAGTCATAAATGTTACGAGTGTTAGACATTTTTCCCGCTTAAAAGAATTTCAATTACCATAACTGGATTTTAGCTCGGACTTTAGTCTGCATTAACTAAACTTTAAGGATAAGATTTAGTACTGTACTATTTATTTACTACTAGTATTAGAGTACATTTATTGCTCGGAAAAATACTGTATTTCATAAATAGTCATACGGAAAAAACTATAGCAATAAATTAACGCTTAAAACAATTGATAATGCATTTTCCTTGTCGATTACAATGAAGCATAAAAATATAATTTTCACGCGTGCCACAATTTAATTAACTCTATGTTACGTGCAACTAGGGTTACCATATTGGGCCGCGGACGAGAGCGAAAGCGTGCCCGTGGTCCCGTCCCGATGCGTTGGAGGAACAGAGGGGTTTAGTGGGTATGCCTCCGCTATGGAGGAGAATCCCACATAACTACCGCGTCCCCCCCGGGGCGCGGAGTATGCATAAAGCATTCCCCTCTGAAAAAAAAGGGTTACCATATTAACATGACAAAAGTAGGATAAGTCGGAGACTTTTAGTCCATCTTCTTTATTATAACAGCTAAAAAGAAATCTGAGAAATTATTAATTTAATTGATATTCATATTTAAAAAAAAAAACAGGAATGTCCGCCCAAAAAGCTGGTAGTCATATACTATAGCAAATTCACTGGTAACAGTTAAAGTGGTAAAGGATGCTAGTAATTTAAACTAGGGTTAAATTTTTATACTCTTGTTAAAACAGGTAATTGAGATCTATTCAAAAGGTCAACTTCATTGTAAAATTCCATAAAATGTTATGTTCATTTAAATATAAGGCTATCTTTAATAATATAATATAATACTAGTATAGTATTTAATAATATAATGTTACTAATATTATAAAAGCTAAAGTTTGGATGGACGGATCGATATTTGTTTGATGGTATCTACCGAACCTCTTAACGGATTTTGATGAAATTCGGCACAGATGTAGAAAATAATGTGAAAGAATATATAGGCTACTTATTGTTTTTTTTAATAATGCGCGGAAGGAGTTACGGGCGACAGTTAAAACTTATTTAAATTGTTTTAACAATATTGAAACATTATTTTCGCCCTTAGTAGGGACCACCGGCGTCAGTTTCAGACATAGTCGGTGCCGTCTTCGGATAAACTCCGAAGACGTGACTCAGACGTAAGTGTTAGTTAGTTCTTAATTATTTTATAATACTAATATAATATTGTATTATATGTGGTATAGATGAGAGCAAGGAATGTATAGTTACAGATATATAGGTATCTAGTTGTGTTAGCAGTGGAAACTCACTATAAAAATGTGAAAGAACATAATATTAAACTGTAATGTAATATTACATTTAAATATCACGTGTTTCTAAATGCAAAATGTATTGTTATGTACAAGTTGACAAAGATTATGCCGTCGTATGGATTAGTGCAAACACTACACTATATTGCGTCGACAAATATTTTGCAACTAGTGATGCGAAACACACAAATATTATCGACAAAAATACAAATAAAGTGCAGCTCCAATTTTCCTACTTTTTAAAGTCCAAAACATTCTATAAAAATTCGTTAATAATCCTTTTTTTGAGAGATTTTCTGGAGGAGAGAAATGTATTTTAATTACGTGAAATAGGAAGGAAAATTGTTTAATTAATCAATACGGGCTTCTCTGTATGCCTCGACGCCTTGATAACTGAGCTTTTCATTTAAAGTAACTTACAAGTAACATATACGTCTTTTAAGTCAACCCATTAGGGTTGTAACGACATGATAAATATCACTTGATTTACATTTATTTATATTAATTGCAGGTGCCAACCCTGGTGTGGCGTTCAGGCCGCTGCCGGCGGATGGTGTGCTGGTCAAAATCACTGATGATGCCTCCAGTGATAGATATATTAAAGAGCTTCAGGAGTTTTTATCACGTGAGTCCATTTCTAAAAAAGAATTTACATTTTTTTAATAGAAAATTCTATGAATTTGTTAGAGATCGTACCTGGTCGACATAACTGGGGAACTAAAAGTAACCTACTTTGATTATGCTGGTACTGAATATTAACCTTAAGTTTAATAGTACCTATATTTTATAATTTTTCAGCATACAAAAACGAGAGCTGGTTCACATCTAAGCGTAGCTGTTCAGCCGAAGACAACTATGGCTTCCCAGACGCGCCTTGTTTTTTCATCAAGTTGAACAGGGTGAGTGGCCAAAAAATCTACATAATTTGAGACAAGAAACTTGAATCTATCTCTCACAGATAGGTCGAGAACAGCCTCCTTGGAGTTTTAATCTATTGGCAGTTGTTTTTTATTTTTATATAATACATTAAATTCTAAGGTGTTTATCTTTGCTAGAATTCGAATACCAGTCAAATTTTTAACTGTCTACCAATTAGGTCGGTACATACAAAGAACTGTGTCGAATATCATGGAAAAAACCATGAAGGTTAATGTGTGCTATTCGATTGAGTAGACGTAATATTATCATCGTAAAAATAAATTGCTGATGACAAAAATATATAAAGAATTGTGGTCAATAAAAGTCACATAAAATTTATGTAATTACCATCGTTTACAGATTTACGGATGGAAGCCAGATTTCTATGAACTAAATTCGTTGCCGTCAGACATGGACAGTAGTCTAGTGGAATACATCACAGCCCTGCCCGCTAATGAGGTAGGCAGCGAGGAAACAAAAGATTTTTATTATTAATGCTTTGTTTCATAATAATTAGGACAAGTGACCGTTATACCAAATATCAAACTCTCATGTTATCTTTGCTAAAGAAAGTACAAAACTAACTTATTCATTGTATTTCTCTATTAAAACAGTATTCTCAATTTAAATAATTTTTCAATTTACACATTTTGCAATATTTTTTTTATATTGTTACATTTATTTATCTTCTCATTTCTACAGCTTGAGCAGATCTGGATCTCTTGCTGGGAGGAGAAGTTGAACGAAACAAAGATAGAGTATCCGTGGGGCATGGGTCTGCCGGGCCGGTTCTATCCGTTCCTCAACCAGGCGGGATACAACAGCCCGCTCATACCGGTCAAAGTCACACCATCAGGTACATATATTTACCATTAATTGTAATGTGTTTTAGTAACTTTTTGACCCACCTAACATAACCTAACCCACCCTACGATTAAATATCTGATGATAAGTGATGAAGTTTTAGATTACCCCTCCTACAATACCTAAAATCAAGTATATCGATATTAAAAAAAAATATATAGGGCCTAGCCGACGCCCGCGACTCTGTCTGCGCCGAATCACAAAAACTTAATAAGTAGCCTGTGTTGATGAAGATTCGCTGAGCCGTTCTGGTGATATCTTCTAACAAATCCATCCATCTAAACATTCGCATTTATAATATTAGTATGATATATTAAGAAATAAAAGTAAGATTATTATAGAAAAAGGGTCTTGACAGACGGACGGACGGACAACAAGTTGATTCTATAAGGGTTCCGTTTTTTTCCTATGAGGTACGGAACTCTTAAAACGTAACATTATATGGTTTACACTGCGATACATTATGATGGCTATCTTTTTCTATTCTAGTGAGAAACGAAACAGCGGTGATTCGCTGCCGGGCGTGGGCAAAGAACATTGAATACAACAAAAGTCTGAAGGAGCCGTCAGGTTACACTCGGATACAGCTACAACTGGGACAGTACGAGAAACTTGCAGCAGACATATAAGTACGGATATTTCCTGGCATCGATCCAGTTCTTAGAAACAACGTGGTCACCCTATTGCATAGTTGAAGACGATTTTAATATTCTCATCAATCCTGTGAGTTAATTTGTATAGTAAGTAGTTCCATTTGGCTATAGCTAAGGGATGTTATTACAAAATGTGACGTCATAAGTTTAATAAAGTAAGGCCGCTTGTCCACCAACACCGTCACCGGCTCCGACACCGTCACGAGCTAATTTTAGTCCGTGATTAAAATGACGTGACGGCGGTGAATTGTTCACAGCGACGATCTCGGAGATTCAATGTTGGGGGACAAACGGCTTCGCTTGTAGTCTCCTTGACGAGTCTACACCTGGATGAATTAATAAATAGTTGGGTTAATAAAAACTAAAGATGCATGTTATTTTATTTATTTTAGTGTCTGTATGTTTTTCATGTGTTTATTGACCAATTATTTGTACCTATTAAGTACAAAATTGAAACGCGAGTGTAAATAATTGTGAATTTAGAGAACTATAAGTTTTCACGGCCTTCATTTAGAATACTTGTATAAAACGTAATGATAACACACTGTTTGACGTACATTTTTAGATTAATAATAGATATAAATATTGTTTTTAACCCTACGCTGAAGAGTTGAAAAACTTATATATGTAAGTTTACCTTTTTATGATTGACATATAGAATTTATTTATCACTTAGTGAGATGTGTAATGCAAACAACAACATATAATAAATAGGCATTTGACCCACCTGTTAGTGGTTAGTGTGTTAATATATTGATTTTCATTTCTATTACATTTAAGAAGCCTTTACCCTTCTTTAGAACCACTAAGGCTCGGCGCTGACGGGCTACCGACCACAGCCACCGGTGACCAGATACAATCACACAATTCTTCTTACATTTGTGTGAACTGGTTGTCGATTGCCACCGGTGGCTGTGGTCGGTGCCTCTGTGCCGAACCTTAATCAATTACAGTTTTGTCGCTTCTTACGGTGAAGGAACATCGTGATGCAACCTGTACATTTCTGCGTAGAAATTCAAAGATATATGAGCCAGCGTTGACTATGTCTCACTTACTCCTAATTTAGGGTAGGCTTCGAGCTCCACAGTGGGGACGTGTAGTGTGCCGCTGATAAAGATTATTGCCAATTACCTATGTTATTAAAACTGCCTTTTACCTTAAAAATATTTTCAACACTTCTATTTGTCTGGCAGTATATCATTTAATATGATAGATTTCATTATAATGTTGTTCTTTTTTGTCATGAAAGTGTTTATATCACCACTACTGTAAGTGTAAAGGAATACTTCCTTTTGTAATTACTAACTACATATTATATTTATAGGTTTTTCGGCAGTAAGCTATAGACGTTAAGGTTTAACTGAACAGAGTGGCTATACAAAGTGCATTCGGTCCAAAGATATTTTAAAAAGAACTTCAAAAATGTATAGAACTGACATTCGATAAGTAACGTGATTGTTGCGCCTCAGTTTTGTACATTTTTTAAATTCGTTATTGAATCGTTTTGAAGCGAATTCACTTTGTCTGGCCCTTAGTTCGTCAGTTAAAACTTAACTAATGTAGTGGCCTTTAAAAACTAATTTTAAATTGACAGCCCATTAATGTTTACTATTGATAGAATAAAAATAGGAATTAATTTAATAGCAAAATTGTTAGATAATTTACTTTTATTCCTTATTTAAAATGTTTGTTTAATTTTAATTTTGTTAGTCCAAAAATGCTTTTTCCTATGAACAAAATTATTTAAAATAAGATATTTGCATTTCCTTATTGAATACCTAAAACTTATTGTCGTATTTAGGAAATAATATATTTATTATGAAACTAAAGTTAAATGAGTTAAAATTGAATAAGGTAAATGTCATTTAAAATTTTTGTATAAATTAATATAACATTTGAATGTTTGTTATAATTTTTGGTATGAATTATTTTATTTATTTGTAATAAATAAATTAAATAAGTAATGTTTATGAGTTTTCTTTCCTTTGTTTCTTCACGAGTTACACTTTACCTCTCAGAATTCACTGCCCTACTCATGATTGTTAAACGTTCCATATGTACATTGTAGAGCGCCATCTATCGGCTGTGTACTGTAATTAAATCTTTGATAAAAGAACAACGTTAGAAATCGAACTTAATATGAAATTCTTCTGCAAAGACACCTCCAACATACATATCCGAGTTACATTGTTTAGGAAGATATCACAATATGCGTTTAGACAAGTTTTTCAACAGTGGAAATCCACCTTTAGATTGAATATATCAGTCTATGTATGTAATAATAGTGTTCAGGTATCAGCAATAGAACTTATTAATCCAGGTAAGTTATCTTCCGGTGTATGTCAGTGTCAACCGGGAGGTTACTTAGCTAAGTAGCCGGTGCGGGGCGGCGAGGGGCGGCCTGAGGGCGGATGGAGGGATAATTGGTACCGGAGGGCCGGGGCGGGCGGGCGGCGCCGGTTGTCACTAGATTTGGGTGGATAGCGGCCTTTTTAACATAGATTATGTACGCAGATGGCAAATAAAAAAATTCTTGTAGCCGTAGGTTCGTTACCTAGTCCCTATAGTATGTTTTAATTAGTTTTTGCTACAGAAATAGAAATTTTTGCATTAGAGAAATTAAGAAAATTTTGTATACAAAATTGCCTTTAATAAGTTTCTTACACCTTGTATGGGTTATTATATATTATTTTATATAATTAAAGTAGTAGGAAGACGTTATTGTTAAATGTATAAGTAGATAGTCTCTCAGATGCAAAATTAACTTAGGTACAAAACTCGCGTAGATTCGCAATATGTACGTGGTTGGGCGAGTCGGAGGCAGCTTGTCAGTGCATCGTGAGGCAGCGAGGAGGATGGGCGCCGACAAAGCCAACGGAGTGGTCAACTACTGCCGCCGCCCGCCGCAGCGCCCTCTGCTTCAGAAGATACGCTACGCGATATGGAACCCCGAGGAAAGGACCTTCTTAGGACGAACGGGACATAGATGGGGTAAGTTTTTTACATACATATTTATGAAAACATTTAAATATGAAACTTTATGCGTAATTAAAATTCGGAATGTTAATGAAGTAAAAATAGTTATTTTTTCAATTACGTTTTCAGTTACGGTGTATTTAAATAATTCTTAAGTATTTTTTAAACAGAATACGTTAAAGTTTAGTACATCAAGTTGAACAAGGAATAGAACTCCGACCATCGAATTGAAAATCGGATCGAATTATGATCTGCTGGGTTATTCTACTTCTTCGTGTGTTAAAGTGGTTTAATAGAATAGTATTCATAGTACTATTTAGCATTTAGTATTCTAAAGTAGATGTAGTAGACTAGAGTAGTGTTTAATTTCAATTTCGAGATAATTTTCCATAAATTATCTTTCATTATAGTTCGTTACTCAAATATTTTTACGTTTCGTTTTATAAAAGACTAACTTTTAGCCGTGACTTCGCCAGCGCGGAATTAAAAAAACTGTTCTACATATATTTCGAATTTCCGCGAGATTCATCCGGCCCTCTAGTAATACCTTCTAAGAAACATACATTCATCCAAACATTCGCATTTATAATATTAATAAGATCGAAACCTCTTTGGTGAAATATTTTAAATTGATTTATAACATTTATAATTTATTAATAAAATGTAGGCAATATATTCCAGTGACGAGATTCACTTTGCCTTCACGTATGTTTACCCTTCCCGTACACCGGCTTTGCGAAATTTAGGCGATGACGTCATCCACACGTCAAAATTATTACAACCCGGATATAGTTTACATCAAAGTAATTCCTATCTTTATGTTATATTAATTTCACATTGAAATATAAATTTATATCTAGTTTTCATAAACGAAAGAAACATAAACAAACCAATACATATCTGCAATTTTCAATACTTACGAGAACTACTAATGCCTTTGAAAAAATAGGGTTACATGTGTCTCGCTAAAATCATGGTAAAACTCAAGAGCCATTCCGAGGGTCTTGAAATCTCCAATGGAGAACACCAAGGTCCTCTGCGATTTGCTCTAGGTCCCTGGTAGGAGCTGTAGGTAATTTGAGGCTGTTATATTGACGCAAGATTAAAATGGAACCTTGTTAAATGATATATCAATGCATGTACCACCTCAACAACTTGTATAATGTGTATTAAGACAAATAAGTGCGTCTGTGTAATTCTACGGTTACATTTTATCGGCTGCGGTTTGCCCCAACCTCGCTCCTGTCATATGATATCAAAGCAATATAAAAAATACATACTTAATAATTACGTTTATATTAAACGCACTTATAGTCTAATGAGTTTGTTTTACTGTCCTTTGACTTCCGGATCGAATACTTACTAATAATGTTAGTAAATTTTTATTAACATTAACGGCCCCATTTAGAGTTGTTTAGTTGCTTAGTTTTTCGATTTCTAAAACTTAATTCAAAGCAAAGACTCCGTATGCGACAGTAAGTCATTTATTAAGTGCTAGCTGTCGCCCGCGACTCCGTCTGCGTGGATATATAAAAAACCTTAATATATAAATAAGTTAAATAAAAAGCTGCTCTTCAAGGCATAAATTCGAAAAGAAAAAAAAAACAGTAAATAGTATCCTATATCCGTCTCCTGGCTGTAAGCTACCCCTCACCAATTTTCAGCCATATCGGTAAAGCCGTTCTTGAGTTATAAATAGTGTAACTAACACGAGTTTCTTTTATATTTATAAGGTTTTAGTTTTTTTACGACGAAGACGTTTAGAGAATACAGGGAAGAAGTGAAGGTTTTTGTATAGTTATTCGTTTTGTTTTATCATTAATGGTCTATTCTTCCTTCCACAGCTTTTTTAATGATTTCTTGTTTTCTTTACTTTCGTCCAGAGTATTACTAATATCCTCAATGCAAGTATCTGTTCAATCGTATTTCAATTCAATATTTCACATATAAGCAGACGAAAGATCGAAGTGAATCACGTCGATACGCCGCGACTATTTTAAACCAAAAGCTGATCGTAACTCACCCAGATATTTGAAATGTTCTACAAATTGTATAATATTTTATTTGAATTCAGGTTAACTCAGGAATTTTTCGATAGATGAAGAGTAATGGCTTATTTTCCTACACATTATTGACGTAAGATTAAAATATGCAGCAGTTATTTTTATGTTTAACATGACTTTGACAGCTAGTATGTTGTTACCGTAAAATTCCAGTGCGGTAATATATATATATATATATATATATAATTGTCTCTGTTTATTTCACAGGGCAAAAAAGGATAAAAATATCAATAGAATGACATTAATTTATTCTAGGATATAATCGTTATCAAGTTGGTATAAAAGCAATTATTAAAATGATATGAAGGATACCTGATAGTTAAAATGTCATCAAGTGATAACAATCAATTGAACAAGTAATTTGTGGACGTGTGCGTTGTCTCTGTTAAGATATTATCTGCTTATGAAACATTTGGACTTTCTTTCTTTACGTTTTTTAAAGTTTCAAAGGAAATAATTGAAAGCAAGATGTAGTATAAATAAAGATATCTTCCTTCATCGTTTAATCATACTCCATCGTGAAATACACAGTAACACAGACAGGCACAGACAGTATTAGATATGCCGTCTAAGCTAACTGAAGCCTTTTTAACTAAGTTTAGTCCAAGATGTTAGAGAGGAGTCAATAAAGCTAAAGTTATCCCAATTGACAAAAAGCTCTACTTATTTTAAAACATGGATTTCCCACTAGCAAAAACCCGTTGATTGGTAAATTGGCAATAGTGACTCCAGATGTCGACCTCGCCACACTTGCTTTCTTCTCAACCATCAATTTGCACTCAGAAATAGCGGGTCATGGGCTGTTTACTCTTCCACATAAACCACGGCTAAACGCGCACCGAAAACTACACTCAGATCTAATAATAGTCCAATACGTTAGGTATTCTAGACTGCGTTATGTTGCCCTAAAAACACTCTGCTGGCTCTCATATATCGACAAAATAATACAGGATAAAACAAGAGTTACTACACTACTATACATTCAGATATAGGATGCTCTAGTTATCAAAATGTCACCCTGTAACTCGTAAGTTATGTAAACAGGTATATAAATGACGTAAACATATCCTCATGTATTCAGTTGTCCCTTGTGCTAACATTTGCTATGTCCAGTTAACTTCGTTTGTCCGCAATAAGTGACGGCAGGTAAACAGAATTACATCGATCTCTATTACTCTGTGGCACGCAATGTATAAGTAAATGTGTTAGCTAAGGTTTTGTATTCATTCGGGAATAAATAAAAGAAGTTAAGAGTTTGGAACTTTACATTGAAAACTTTTACTGAATTACCAAGTACTTTTTCTTCTCCTATCACCTGTTAAAGCGTATCTAAAATCATTTACTTACTTTATAGATAAGACTTGTCATTCTCTCCTCGAGTACCTCGATGTACCTAGATCTTCTGTCTCTGGTCATAGACTTACTAAAATATAGATATGAAATAATTTTGCCATTGAAAAAACTGACCTAATAAAACGTTCAAATCTACCAACATACGTCAAGTCGTAAACGAAAATAGGAATACGGCTTGGTAACGAGCGAACTACATACATATAAAATACTGTAGTCCGTCTGTACATCAAGTACAGTAGTTTGTTCAAGGCGGGGGTGGTGACCTCCGCCCTCCCCCCGACCTCCCTCCGCCACAATGACGCACCTTGGGAGAGGCTTCGATAAAAGCTGTAATGAAATTGCTTCATTCACTTTATTGCTCGATCAGAAATGTTTATTCTTGTCTTTGTGCGGAAAAATGTCTTTTAATTGCTTCCAAATTTCCTCAACGGGCGATATCGTACTTTTGGTAAAGTAACCCACAATTCTGCTAAAACAATTTTGTTTTTTTTTTTAGTTTTACAACGGTGAATAACTCAAATTTTGACTGCTAACATTAGTCTTTTTGATTTTGAAGTTCTAACCATTAAGTAACTAGTATGTCTGAAGGTTCCTCTGCATCATAGAATGATTATAAACTTCGCTACATCACATTTTAAACAAACAATATAAAAGGCTCTAATGAAATAATAACAGTATGTTTGTGACAGAATAATCGTGAGTTTCCACTGCCGAAACAAGTCTACAAAACATGTTATTATCTCTGATTTTTCAAGGAGAATGAAAATGATTAATTTATTTCCGTACAGATGTTTCGCCAGTGGAAACCCGGGCTAAGGAGGCTTGTAATACAACTTGTTGACAAAGAGGTGCTAACACGCACGCAAGAAATGCTTGCCTTTACAATTTTATACAATTAGCACTTGACATTGCAACTTTTATATTTATGTGTTGAATTAAATGCATTTCATGTACATTACATTAAATCGTATATAGCAATAAAGAACTTTTTTAAATACGTCTCATTGTATTTTTTTTATATCGTAATCGCTGAAATAGCGAAGTGACCGTTGCCCATAGACATACGCAATTGCTAATGCGTTGCCTACCTTTAATCTACGGAGGAGAGGATGCACAGAAAGAAAATATTTGCCCTTCCCATGCATCCTCTCATCCGAAAAGTCCACTTCCACTTCCCACCTTTTCCTTATAAGAAAAAGGGTGGGAAAGGAAAGAGAACTTAATTAGGCCTCCGGAACGCACACATATCAGACGAAACGCGGAATTTTAATAGGTGTTTTAAAATTGTAGTAAAACGTGATGTTTGACATAATTACACACTTTCTTTTTAATTAGTTTGTGCAGGAATGTTAACATGGTGAATTTTTGTTGCAGGTGTAATAGGTCTGATCTACCTGGTGATGTACATCTGCATCATCATCTTCTTCTCCATCTGTATGTGCGGCCTCCTTGCCACCATGGACGACAGGATACCGTACTTCACCCTCGCTGACTCCATCATAGGTAAATCATCATATTTGTCATCAGATCAGGTGACATTTGACATAAAAATAATGCAGAATTTCCGCCAAATGAATGCTTAAAGCAGTCCGTGTACATCGGCCCTTAGTAAACAATCCGATCCTTTATGTCTTTTCTTTTACCAGTTATGTTGTTAATTATTCTCAAAGTTACCATAAAAATAAATATTTTTTGCTATAAAATAATTGTATTTAATATTCATCAGGTGATAATCCCGGCATGGGTCACCGTCCACTAGTGTTCGAGGAGGGCGCGTTGATCTGGTACGACGCAGACAACGCCTCGCAGTACGAGAAGTACGTGCGAAACATCGACCAATTCCTTGCACGTGAGTCTACCACATTATGTTTTATTGCTATGCTTTTACGATGCCCCAAATATAGGATTGAGTGCCTTGTGGGTTATGTCTGATCGAACACGAGGACAAATGTATGCCAATTTTATAGGAGACTAGAGCCATGAAATGTGGTTCAAAAATAAGATCTAGTTTGTAGAATATGAAATGAATTCTTATTTGCTTCTTTTGAAATTTAACAACTCTCTACGTCTATTCTGCAATAAGGGAGACCCTTAGTGACCAATTAAAGACATCGCAGAAGGAAGACACTTTTGATTAGATAAAAATCGCTAATATTTAGTTGCTCTGCCTTCTGTAATTTATCAAATAAAGAGATTCATACGTTTTCTTAAAATGTTACCAATGAATCCGCAGCGTACGATAACAAATCGCTACTGGTGACGCGGGGTGAGAACCAGCGCGAGTGCGGGGAGGTAAAGCCGCCGCGCGCAGAGGTGTGTGCCTTCAATACCAGCCTGTTGGGGCCCTGCGCTCATAAGCATGCTTACGGCTACCCTGCCAGGACACCTTGTATCATCATCAAGCTAAATAAGGTTAATACATTTATACATGTTTACCACAATATTTGGTGAAATCTAAAGTCATTCATCGCATTTTTATCTTACGAACTTTCTCTGATTACAAAACTAACTTCGCACACAGAAAGCAGATACGCTATTAATTATTGTGTTGTCACTAGTTGCATCAGTAAAGGATAAAATAAATAGTCTCCAAGGGAGCTTCCTAGTATAGGTTGAGATTAAGAAATCTACATTAAGGAATGATTAAGCAACATTACACAACTTTGAATGTAGCAGTACTTGTAGTTAATGAAGAAATAACGTTTATTTTTCAGTTGTACGACTGGAACCCCATATTTTACGACGACCCCGCGGCGCTGCCGCCCGGCATGCCGCCAGACATCAAGGAGTACATAAACAAGACAACCACGCAACAAGAAGTTAGCACCATTAGAATTATCCAGCTTTTTTACATTATTTAAATTCAAGGCGGCTCTTTGTATCTCTCTCTAGCCATCTACGAAAGCGATGACCTCCTTCTTTTTGAAGTAGGCTAAAAATACTTGATTGCTGTTGGTTGCCATACAACCTATGTGACCTTTTATTAATCCCTTAGTATATAAGCGTGATTTCATAACAATTAAGTGCTTAACTAATACGTGTTGCAGCGTCGCAAGGTGTGGGTGTCGTGCGCGGGCGAGCGGCCAGCGGACGTGGAGGCTCTAGGCCCGCTGCGCTACTGGCCCTACCCTGGCCTGCCAGAGACCTACTTCCCATACGACAATACGCCTGGCTACCTCAGTCCGCTAGTCGCCGTGCAACTACTCAAACCTACTCGTATGTATTTATGTTTTTGTATTGAATTGCTCCGGCAAAGCTTTAGCGTAGGCTGTTGTTGGACGACCGCCCAGGACGCTGGACAGGGTCAGCTTATCTTAGCGTAGTGGTCGAAGATTTTCAAAATATGTTTACTTTATTTATCCAGACGATTTTTTACTAAAGAACTACTAAATTCCTGTAGTACTTAAACATTTCCTTAAACTAAAGTTTTCTTTTTCAGTGCTTCGATTCATCTGTTCATGCATGCATTCATTTGTTTATTAACTTCTAGGGCGCTTACTGTATCATGAAGGTGTTACAACACATTGTTATGTTATTCCACAGTGCACCAGATTATAAACATCCGCTGCCGCGCGTGGGCCCGCAACATTCGCTACACGGAGAGCCTCAAGGAGCGACTCGGCTCCACGCATCTAGAGATAATGATCGACTGAACATCGGGACCAATGTATCTCTAGTCTTACAAGTAGCACGGGTTTGGAACTCATTTATAACGACAAATGCACACAATTTTTTAAAAATTTAACTTCAATTTTTTTAATAAAATTATTTATTGGAGTTAAAAATTAAATTAACCCTTATGTAATACATAATACGAGTATGTAATTGTATAAGTAGTTCCACCCCATTTATGTATAGCTTGTTAGCTGTGATGTGCCTTATGTGACACTTGTTCAAACTTGTGCAAAATTTGTGCAAACTTGTGTAAACTTGTTCAAACTTGTGTAAACTTGTGCAAACTTGATGTTAAGTAGCAAATTTAATGCTGATAAGTTTGTATGGATGGACTTAATATTAATAATAAATATTTTGAATGAAGCGTATCAAAATAAAATAGTAAAATTTATAATTGTGACAAATATTAAAAGAGAATGAGGTTTTTTGAAATAACAGAGATATAAATTTGTTAACAACTTAACTTCTAATATCTGCCTCAACAACTTTTACAAGGATTCTGAGATTGTTTTTATTTTTAGACATTTTTTTTTATTTATTCAATGAAGTGTGACTGCGTGGTATCGTACTGTTTATGTTCGATGTTTATTGATGTTGATTGTAATAAATGTATTAAAAACATATAGATTTTTCATTTAAAATAACTGATGTAATTATTTGTCAGCTAAAGGTGGCTTTTTAGTAGTTATGTTAAATGTCTACAGTTTTAGACATTATTAGTTAAAATACTTTGGCAAATTGAATATGCGGATCGCCAGCGCTTTTGTTACAAAGTCAAATGTCAGAATGATTAGTGATGGGACATAAATGTCGACGTTTTAGTGAGGCTAGTGTTGCGCCGATTTTCTTACTTTAAGTAGTTACACAAAACAAATTAAGAAAAGATCTTACATTAGAAGGGAATAATAAAAAATAAATACACAGTATAATTTTTTCAAACAAAGCTTTAATAAATTAAATTAAAAATCTTCTAGTTTACAATCAAAGGTACACAACAGATTTAAATTAACTATGAATTTTGATATTTTATCTGTTATGTAGTCAATGTCTTTAAAATGAAAATTATCAGACAAATTTTCTTTTATAAACTAACAAAATTAATGTCATAGTTTAAACATAACCAACGTTTTAATGTTAACTTCAAAAGATTGATGCCGTCTTTCTAGTGTTCAAATTCTAATTGCGGCAGAAACACTGCGGTCTGTATTGTTTTAGTTTTTCCCCGTGTAAGTCTATCCTTATTGTGACATTATCGCTTCGTACTGAGAGGTTACTCGACCATAATTTCGATATGCACAGAGCCCATGCCCTCGTGCCGGTCGTACACGATGTTGTGTGCCCAGGCGCGGCACTCGATGTTTATCAACATGCCAGCTGGAACATAAGTTACATGTTAGGAGTAAAACCCTGGAATCGAAGACTTAGTGGACCGTAGACTTAGTGCGCATAGCGGGAAGACGTTGGATGAAGGTACTGGAAGGGGGCATTCTGGAAGAGGGCTTAACACCTTAAAAAGTGTCAAGGCATGATCAGATATTACGTGTGTTAATAAAAATTATCGCTTCGAAAGCTTGGGAAAGGATACATAATCATTTATAGTAAATTAATAATTATACTATAATACTTTACTTTTCGGCCTCTGTAGATGTACAGCGACTAAGGGGCTCAGATATCCCTCCTGGTTCGTGTATGGGAAGTAGTATCCGGGGAAGCCTCGGTATGGCAAGTATTGTATGGGCCCAATGTTCTCACGGTCCGCCGGGTTCTCGCCCTGGCATGACACCCACACCATGTTCAACTGAAAACAAATACGAAAATTCTTTGATATGGCCATGGCATGCTTGGGTGTGGGTTGGTTTAGGTTACTAAGTTCTTATTTTAGCCAAAATATGGCAAAACTTTAAAATCTGTTTAGCATCTAATATTGACGCGCAGCTGTTCTAAAAGCTGTAGCTTTTGGTATGAAAAAGCTAAACATTTTTATGACCTAATTTCCTTCTTTTTCACTTTATAGTTTCCAGGTCAAACTTGTACCTACTCGTATGTCAGTTTATATTGAAGAGAAATGTGAAATTAGAATATTTAGGTCTTTTATTTCAATATAACAGCACATTCTATAGATTCATAGTTACAAAATAAACATGATCTTCGGTCATTTCAAAATGTGGCTAAAGTTAATAATAAAGGAATAAAAAGACGACTAAAAGTGAAACTTACATAATTCTTATCGTAGGCAGTCATATTCTTGATGTGTTGCTTCAAGTCCTGGGGCATGGCTTCGGGGAGAGCGTCCGAGCTGTTGTAGAAGACAGGGCGCCAGCCGAAGATCTTGTTTAGCTTGAGGAATACGCATGGTGTGGACTTGTGGTAGGCGAAGCCGTTCTCCTCGACGCAAGGCCCCCACGCGCTCATGTCCACATCGCACACCTTGCCTGCTGGCGCTGGCAGCTTAAAGTCACAGTTGTGGATGTTCTGGCCCGCGCCCGCCTTGTTGCCGTCGCGTTTGTACACTACATAAATAAACGAGGAATACAATTATCAAAAGCTTTAATTGTGATAGAACCAGTAGAAAGGTAGGAATTTGAACCGGTTTGCCAAATGTTCCATCACTTGACAATTCTATATAGATAATCTGAATTGAGCTATGATTTTAGTTACCTTTTAAGAATTCAGACAACTCCTTGACCCAGAACTGGTAGCTGCCGGGGTCATTACCCTTGTACCAGATGACGCTGCTGGCGACCTCAGGCGGCGTAGGACGGAAGCCGAGGCCGGGGTTAGTGCCAATGATACTTTGCTCCAGCTGCCACTTAGGCTGGCGCGCGTCTAGCAGCTGAAGGAATGTCCACATACAGATCGCTACCAGGATCGCGAGTGCGGCATAGAAGATGAAGTAGAACAAAGATATTTTTGCTGGAAAAATCGAAACTTAGAATTATTTAAATGGTTACTTTAACTTAATTATTACTTTTCTTGCCTTACATTGAATATTAAATTAATATATAATACCTTCGTATAAAGTAGTTCATTTAGTATCAGATTATCCTAGAGATTGTTGTAAAAAAAAGCTAGTCGTGTGTTTATTCAAATGCCTCATTCTTGAAGGCAAGAAAAGAAAGTATGTTAGAATTCCATAATGATTGATGAATTCTTTTGTTTCTTAACAAATATTGTGATCCCTGTATGCAATGTTGGATCAGCAAACTAGTATCTGGTGAGGTGAGTCCGGCGATGGCGGCGGTGTGTGGCGGCGCGGACCAGCGCGGGCAGGATGTACCAATGAGCTCATTGCGACAATTCGCGCCGGCTCGTCTTCCGGCCGCGCTCGCCTTGCCACGCTTGTGACGTGTCATCTCTAACTGAGTATGGGAATCAACTCACGACAGACAACGGAAATTTTCTTGCAGACTTATGTTACATTTTTATGGTAATATGAGATTAGTTAATATGTGAGTCTCCTGTTTTTCACCAATTTACGTTATGTCTATCAAGACTAAGGACAATAAAAAGAAAAACGTCCAACGTATGCATTCAAATAAAGCTCAGGCGTGAATTACTAAGTGACTTCCACATGATCCTTCTGTCCTGAGGAACTAAGGGAGGACCCAAAATTCCACATTAACAAAAGTATTGTCAATGCCATACTTAAATAAAGTTAAATAAACTATCATGTTTCAATCATTATCACAGCTGGTCATTCTGGCGTTTTATAAAATTAGAACCATAAAAACTGTTATTTTGCGTCTCACAAAAGATTTTTTTTAATTTAATTTTTAAGGACTATTCTACAGTACATAGTTATATGTAGTACATACTTATAATATGTAGTAGAATTGTCAGGTCATGAAGTGATTTCAGTAATACGCAGTACGCTCAGCAGCAGATATGAATAGGAGGCAAGTAGTACAATGGAATACTGAGCCGCGCCTCGCCTTACTCCATTCACCAGATTACACCGCCTCATACAACAACAAATGGGTTCATTATGATTTTTTTTTATTTTATAATTATTGCAACTATGGTTTTCACAATATATACACTTGGCTTACATACAAGTTTGGCAGGGTTTCACGAACACGTCTTTTAACCCAAGAAAGACGTAATTTTAAAATTTACTCCCAAATTATCGTACTACGGAGGCCTAATTTTAGGCTTCTCTCCTTTCCCACTCTTTTCTTATAAGGAAAAGACGGGAAGGAGAAGTTGATTTGATGGAGGTCGGGACGCATAGTAAGGGAAAATATTATTTTTTTTGTCCGTCTCCACCTTCGTCGATTAAAGGTAGGCAACGCATCTGCAATTGTGGATTTCTACGGACAGCGATCACTTCGCCATTTCGACGAATTCAGGTGGACGCTAGTTCGTTTGCCTCCTCTTAATGTGAAAAAAAGATGATCAGTAATAAAGAATTTACTTACACCAGCTGGATGCGGTGCGGCCACAGAACTGCCTGGTCTTTGGGTTCCAGATGAACCGCTTTGCCTTTTGACCTGCGGTCATCGGTGGCTCCTTCTCTCTATAGTACATGTTAAACCGCTCCAAGCTCGTCAGATCTGAAGGTCGTTTCTTCACCGTCATCTTGCTTATGATATCCTAGTACTTTGAAATGAAATTTCAGTTTGTGATTTGTGGTACCTGCAAGAAATACAATGTGTTTTTGTGCGTAAATTTAAGAATCTTTGCCTACAGTAATCAAAATAGTTACAAATGTTTTGACTTAAACAGGCGCTATAGTGCGTAGAATAAAAACGCAAAACTTTATTCTAAAGTTCTCAAATCTGTAAATCGATTTTCTCAACACATTATTACCTTTTCAATCAAACATTGATAAGAACAAAAATCCTTAAACTTAAGTGACAGGAACAATAAATTATGTGTTTGAAAGCCTTCCGGTACTACGTTTTTTTATTAAGATTTATCACATCGAAAAGGCAGCTAAACCAAAGAGAAGCATCCTTCATCAATCTTTATTTTGTCAGGTAATATTTCTTTGTGTCAATATATTTATTTAATTTTTATTTATTTGATTTTTTTATTTATTTTGTTTGTATAACTTGAAGCAATAACTAGTTCATACTTGATATCTGATTGTACGAAGCAACCTAATTGTACATCCAATTTTCTAGTCTATTAACCATAGTAATATACTATTTTAAAAAAATTTAAGAAATTTGCCAATAATTTTGAGATCTAGACATCGTGAGATCGTGGTAATTTTAGGTATATGACATGAATGACAGATTATATATTTGAGATGCTGTGTACATACCTGTCACGTTTGTGTCTTGTTTGGGCGAGAGGAGCGGCCCGGGACTGAGGCGCGCGTAGACTGCGCCCGCGCACCACCGCTGTCCTGCTTCAGACACACCGCCAGGATAATAGGACAGCGGTGTACAAAAATGAAGTAGTCAATTGAATTTAGATAAACAAATGGTCGATAACTATCGCTATTTTAAAAAGTAAGTTAGAGTTGTAATTGCTAGACTTTTATAGGAAAAAGTCCAAAATATTGATGACGAGACGATGATAAATATATTTACATTAGATGGAACTTAAACTGTCTCATTTTATTTTAAGTCAATAACTAGTGTACTAATTTCAATAAAACGTTTTAAAAATACCTATTAAATAATAGTGTTTCATAGTTTAGTAGTGCATAGTGTCGTCCACTCGCCCCCTCACGGCACTGCACTGGCAGTAATTCGTCACCTTGCGTATCTCGTGCCCTTGTTTATTAGCCAGTGATTTCAAAGAATTCGCGTCAAGTTAACTTTTACCAATGAACTTCTAATTTGACAAGTACAGTGGTACATAGATAACTCTTCCCTATTCTTATTATCAATACCTTTATAAACCTCGATTGGTATAAGTTACATTAAATACCTAATTACTTATAACATTGAACGTTCAACAATTCTTACAACCAACAATCCCACATGTTGGTTTTAATAAAAGCCGAACGATTTTGCTGGAAACATAACAAATATTTGAGACAAGAGCTGATAACTTTTTACTTGTAAACATTTAATCTTAGCATATCCACCCTATATTATAGAGAAGTCGTGATAGTAAGAGCGTACGGTGTGGAGGTCAGCACTCGCGGGAGGACGGCACGGCAACAACGACTTGCTTCCGCCGCACTAATCACTGCCGCGCCGCCCGCCGCCGCCCGCGCGTCCTCACTGACCACACTTTGTTGCTTTACCGTACCCGTTCCCACTGACGAAACACTATGCAAACATTTTTGCTTTTGTAAAATTATTTCGGAAGTGGAAAGTCACGGTCACTATATCATAAGACATCATTTTAGTTTGGTAAAGTTTAACTAGCATTCTGCCTGGAAGAACATGTAGGCGGACGGAGTAGCAGTCGACAGCCAGAAGTAATCAGGACTACAGATTTTATTTGCTATATAAACAAACTTAGTTTTTTATATTATAAACATACAGTAATTAGAAGATGTAAGACGATAGTATTAGACGAAAAGTTTCCTTAATGAAATTGGCTATCGATGAGTAAACATTGCCGAAGAATAAGTTGATTAGAACAAAGTTAATTAAGACAAAGGAAGAGAAATGTTTTCTACAAATAAAAGCTTATGTAGCCAACATTTTCTATGTAATTTTGTCTTGCTCACACATTTAGTTCATTAGATTGTAAGATATTATAATTAATCACTTAAATCAAAGGCCAATCATTTACTTTGCGTGTAAACTTCCTCGTAAAACATTACAATCAGCACTCTCCGCGCATTAGTCACGCGACCGAATGAAAGAAATTAATAATTATCTTTTAAATCAAAAATCGCTTACGAATTGTGCCAGTATAATTCTTCCTGGAACGCATCGCAACGGGACCAAGTTAATAAATTGCGTATCGAGATGGCCCTTGATAACTTTTGCTGAAAAACGACGAAGACGAAAAGGCGCGAGTTCGTCACGTCAATCAAACGGTGCTTGCACAGCGTAAGCGATAACTAAGCGATGTCGAAGCGAAGCGATCTGTTCTTTTAAGGATTTTATTACTTTTACAATATTGTATGATGAAATACATATAAGATATGAAGAACATACGCACATCCTCTTCTACACAATTCCGTCTTCTCTGTAAACAATATATTTAATTAAAAACATTAAATTAAACAGCATCGCATCGCGATCGCTTCGTGTTAGTGTGTTGCAGGTGTAGTGAGCTGCCGGCGCAAGGCGTGAGTTGCGAGTCGCGGCCTCCTCCATCATCGCTCGACCGTGAAATGTGCGACGTACGCGCACAGGGCTACAAACTCATTCTAAATTAAATATTTCATTCTAGACAGATTTTCTGGATTCCAACTAAAATACCTTAATAAATCTCTACTTATGAAAAATTCAAAGTAAAAAGAAGCGGGGAATTTATTTTTATTATATTATTTATATATAGGTACATATATCTCATTCGCAATAAATGCAAAATACAAAACTGATAATTTGACTGAATGAGTATAAACAAAATGAAAACAGTAAAAAATTTCAGAAGCAAAAATTTGTATTCCTCTTATTGAGCTTATAATATTTTTTGACAGCCCTGATTATTATGACGACTGAAAGAAGCCCGGTACGGTATATAAAGATGTCCTTGAAGGGCTTTTCAACAATCGATCGAAGAGCTTTGCCCACGCACAACATGGAGGTCTACTACAGGATTGCCTTACTCGTAAGTATTATTTCTATCAGAATTTTTTTTATGTTTGTGGTTATCCTTGCTAGACATCAAACAGATTTCACTAAAAAAAACGGTTTTCAATTATATGCTTTTCCATATAGTATCAAATTTTTACAAATATTACTCGTTTTTTACAAATTTGGACACAGAAAATAGTTAGTTTTATGTTTTATGTTCATTGCAGAATATTCTATGTTTTTTTTTCAGGTTGCTTTGTACGCCGTTGCTTGTGGCGCTAATATGCCAACAACAAAAGAAGTCAGAACGGGCTCCTTACTCTTTCCGGAGAAAATCATAGGCGGAGTCATCGAGATGGTGCACAGCCACAAGAGCAAGCCGACCACGCAAGCTCCTTACACGCAGCCACCTGCCTACCCTCAACAGTACCCGCAGCAGTACCCACAGTATCAGCAGTGGAACGGACAGGGAAATGGCCAGGGGAATTACCAAAACCCTGGTTACTCGCAGTACCAAGGACAATATCAAGGCCAGACACAGTATTTCGCACCGCAAAACGGTTACCAAGGTTACCAAAATAGCGGCAGTTACTCCAGTCCTTCGAGTCAGACATATCCTGTGAATCAGGGTTTCAGCAACTCTCAAGGCCAGAATCAAAACCAATATCAGCCAAACTACCAACAGCCCACCGGGAACTATCAACCAACTCAGCAGTTCCAATCTCAACAAGGATCTGGACAATACCAGGGACAGTCTGGGTACTACGGACAGAATGGTGGTCAATCAACGCAAGGTTCCCAAACACCCAGCGCTGGGCAGAGTGGCGTTGGTGGGCAAGGTACCCAAGCTTCAGGAGGCAGTCAGTTGAGTGGCAGCAGTCCGGGCCCCACCTGCGTGTGTCAGGCGTGGACGAAGCCACAACATGATGAATTAAAAGACGGTCTCCAGCCGCAGAAGATGGAAAAAATTCAACAATCTAATGAATAAAAGATTATTTTCGATTTGCAAAATAATGCGTCTATTAGACCATATTCTATTAATGTTAATTTATTGTACTTATTAAATATTTTAAATATTTGAAATATTTTATTTTAATTGAACCTTTCTTCTTTCTAAATTCTTAGTTCATATGAAAATCACATTGAAAAGAGCTCGAGTCTGTAAATATGTATTTGCGAAATTGATATTGCACAACCTATAGTAATTTTTATTATTTATAATTAACTTTTTTCATTAAAAATGTACAATTTCAAAATTATTTATAACGAAAAATGATACTGCGTACAATATTGGGAAACGCATTTGTTCAAAAGTAGACATAAGATGTAGAATAACGTTTAGTTAGTAGAATAGTAGTATTATAAAATGTCGAATTTGATTCCTTTCTTGTCGAGTGCTCTGAAATCACTTCAATGTTTTTTTGCTAATCTTAAATGGCAGGTGTTCCTTTTCTTGCTATTTTAAAATAACAGGATTTTCATAGGGAAAATGAGGGATACTTACTCACAATAAAAATCACTATAGTATTGTATTATACATAAGTTAGAAATTGATTTATAATATTACAGTAATTAATTTTGAATTCTTTTGTTTCTTCTGCAATAAATATTACAAAAGTGTAGAGTTGTTTTTTTACACAGACGTCTTTGGTATTAATGTTCTATCATCATATAAAATTTTCATAAAATCAATTCCTTCCTAGACTTAAATCAGGCACATTGACCAGACACTGCTTTACCAAGTTATTTCAAGATTTGCTGAACGAGAAGTACCCTTATTACAATGACATAGAGCTGATAGATAGCAGCTTATATTGTTGTAAACCCTTTAGCATCCAGTATGCTGTGACCCTCTTTTGTAACATAACTCCGCAAGGAGCGCGCTGCGCAGGGGGTCTAGGCGGCTGGATTTCAGGAACTAGGTCTGAAGCGTGCGCGCGCATTCTTACGTAATCGTTACGTAAGGGGTGCGCGAGGGTTGCAGAGGGCTGCGGGGCCGGCGGCGCGGTGCGAGAGGGGCGGACGTCGCACGGGGGCTAAAGCGCTCACAATCGATTCCCATCCGCAGTCCGGCTCGGCGTTCGAACATGGCAGACAAGACGAAGGTTGCTGAACAATACTACGCCCCGCCGCCGGACCTAGGCAAATGGGAGGCCTTCAGGATCTTCCTATGGAACTCGGAGACGGGGCAGGTCCTCGGCCGCACGGGGTCCAGTTGGGGTAAGTCTCATTCATCTCTTTGTTGCACCGCGCCCGTTGCGGTTTTGGAGGGAAAATCGATGACAGACGACTGCAAGGAAATCAATAACTTACGTTCTATTTTTATATAAACGATTTCACTACAATTTTTTTACCTTTCAAATACTTTTTTGCACAGAAAATTCGGTAACCCGTGGACCAATTACGTAACCCTGAAGACCTCAAATTCTATGGTTAAATATTCACATATATTTAAACACTTTTAAATGTCTTTGATGCCCATAATACAATATTACACGGAATATTATAAACGTATCAGAATCAATGTTATCTAAGTATGACGGTTAGAAATATAAACAATTCGAGATGTACTCCTTTTTATTTTTATTAATAATAAAAATCGTGTGGTTAAGTATGTAAATTGTATTTGATAAGAACATTTTTTTCTCCTATAACTGAACGTTTGTTATATTTTTACAGAATAATCACTGGCACATAAGAGCACCCTACAATACATAGATAAAAAAATTATACTTAAAATAAACAAAGTAAAAGTCTGAGATAGTAGTTAAGAAAGTTATACCTTATTGTAAGGTGCAAAGGTTGAAAGTTGCGCTGCAATTTTTTATGCATAATCCAGTGTAGGCAACACAGAAGTCAGGTTTCAGCTCCGTCTTTGTTAGTTACGTAAGCGCAAAAGCGCCTTAAAAATCATATGACTTCAATGATTTATAATAATCTACAATTCTGTGTTCATAAGTAATCATTTAAAAATGGAATAATCAATTACATTTCAAACATTTTTATTTCTTTTTTCACGTAAAATTATTTTTTTCACTGACTAACTATTACAAAAGAGTATCAGCTGTGTTGAATAGTTAACTAAAACAATAAAATGAATAGAACCGTGAGCAGATGAACTACAATACGTATGCATTAACACAACGAATAGCTAAACAATAACTCAATCACTGCCAGTACGTCAATTTATTAAAAAAATACATATATGTAACAAAAATTTTTGACAACTTTCGTAATATTTCCCGCCTTAAAACCTTCCGCCATCTTGGATTCCATGATGAATCAATAACCGAGGATTTTTTTTTGTTAAAACATTTGCACACAATGTGTTAAAATTAAAATGATCTGCTTATCATTATCACGTAATAATTTGGCGGTTAATTATTGCAATATGGCAATACTTATAAGAGGTGTGGGAGGGGGGGACAAGGGCGGGGTCTGCGGCGGCCAGTACGGGCTGCGCGCGCCGCGTCCTTCCGCGATCGATCCAAGGACGTCCTCCACTGTTCCATATTTTCACATCCACTCTCTTACAAAGTACTGAATATATCCTAGAAGTCACTACGCATCTTAATCAGATTAAAGTCAGATAAACGAAGACTTGGGTTGTTCACGTATTGGTTACCCGATACTGACTACAGCAATAGGAGTATGCTTGTATTTAAAATATACAATTTTTAATTTCGAATGACAAAATAATTATGCTATAGCTAAACTAATTCATTCCAATAAAGTAAAAAGTCTGAATGAAAATGGTCATCAGCATTGCAAGGGTTAACTGACCGCGATAAGGCAGCATCCTGCATTCATCGGACTGAAGCTATCTCTTCACATTACAATGTCATTGCTAATTATATAGCAACTAGCTGTTGCCCGTGACTCCGTCCGCGCGGAATCAAAAAAAAAACTAATACTCTATGTGTTCTTCCAGATTATGTTCTACATCCATGTCAAATTTCAGCGAGATCCAAGCTGCCATTGTAGTGATAACTTCTAACATCCATCCATCCAAATATTCGCATTTATAAGTAAGAAAGTAAGATTGAATAGATAGAAAACATTTAAACAAATATTGAACATACTTTTTGAAATTACCAGCTCGAAATTTTGATATTTAAGTCATAAAACTCAAAGTGAGAAGAGAACCGAATCTCCGAGAAGAGAAAATCCGAATTGGCTTATTTTGTCCTTTAAATTTTTATCTAAAAGTGTGCATATCGCTAGAGTATTTCGCTAACGCGTTTTATTCTACGATAATAGTTACTATCTAGCGTAACATAAAACTTTACACCTTTTTACAATCTGTCCCATTTCACCACAAATCGTTATGCGTCATCGGATTTCCACTTCATTTATATTTAGCGAGGGGGGTTACACTGAAGGGGGGTACAACGCGCATGCTCGCTTGCACCCGGGGTTTGCAGCGCGCACTCGCCATGACCTATTCCATACCAACCCCGACTATTTCGTATGCATTTCAAAATGAAGCTGACCTCAATTTACTTATTTGAATTTTATCATTGTCTACATCTAGAACTCATTACGTGATTTCGAACGATTTTGTTGAAAACATAATGACTTTTTAATGTTCTTTGTTTGAATTTTACTTTTTAATTTTTTTTCAAATCGATTTTTTGCAAAGTTTAAAATACACATCTTTTATATTATAAATAGAGTGTGTCTATCAAATTATGATCATCCAACACTTATATATAGTAAACAGTAACTTACTATAATATTTTACTTTGGGAATATAAGTTAGAATTAGGTCTTTGAACACATGAATGATATTCCAGTGCTATACTTTGTTCCACTCGTTCCAAAAATGGCCGTCACAAGAACGTGTCAGTTCGCGCGCCAACACTAATATAGATAATTAAAACGAAACTAGGGCGATAAAAATTGGCCTAGGTCATGTCACAATATTGTGCTAAAATTATTTTATCTTAAATTTAATACAACGTGCTTTTAACGCGTAACCGTTAAAGATTCTGTTTACTTATTTTGATTTCTTTGATTTATACATCGGCATTTTTGCATAGTCGCATTTCATGTAAGAGAAAACATTTTGTGTGTCTACAAATGCATTTGTCCACATTAATTGAACGAATGAAAATTGACACGATTCAATCAAGACAGTGTAATCTAGACTTAGTGCACTTTGTAACAAATGCAACATAAATGACCTAGAAAGAGCAAGAAATATTACGACGCCTCTAGAAGTGAAGAACTGGTGGTTATTATACAAAAACATCACCCTTCTTTATAACCCTAAAAGCTATCGGTTATTATGAAGATAAGATACACGAGTTTGTGTTTACTACTTTCTGCTTATATTATGTTCATTTATTACTAAATATCTGTCGCCAGCTATTCCGTCCGCAAGGTATTAAAAAAAAATTAAGTAGCCTATGTGTTCTTCCAGACTATGTTCTACATCTGTGCTGAATTTCAGCGCGATCATCTATTACACCATCTAAACATTGGCATTTATAATATTAGTCTGACTAGTAAAATTATAAACTTATGACTTAACTTGATTTGATTTAATTCACCAAACCGAATTTATTGGACATTGTAACTCTGGAAGTTGCAAATGTTATCTGCGACAATGATGCACAAAACGGGGTCAATATTCGAACAGTAGTTTGTCGGTAACTGACGGAGCCACTTACGACCAATTATTACAAAGACGTCTATTACGAGCTACGGAATGTAAACAATTGCCTTAGGCTTTAAAGTTTATTTTAGATCAGTTTCAGACATAAAATAGAATCAAATAAATGTAACACTCCTTTACCAATCCAAAAGGCAAAAAATGTGACAATACTTGGTCAATTGGACAATAACTCGTTTACCTCACAACGTATTGTTAACTAAAAGTGGGACGTTTTGTTAGTAAGCATTCTCTTGTTCATATTTAGGTTGATCTGAGAACTTGTATGGATGCAAGAAATATGTAAATACATACTCATGGATAATTTCATTACCATAATTACAGGTGTTGCCAGTGCAAATACTTAAAATAGGTTTAACAACAACTTACTGTAATAATCAGAAAAGTATACAGAATGTATTATAGAATCTGAGAGAAATATGAACAAGAATATAGCTTAATAACTACGCAATAGCCTAAATATATTGCGCCGCTGGAACTTATAGGAATAACATAAGGAACTATAAAGTTAATAGTTTATTTATCTGTTCATATTTTGTTACAGCAAAGATTCTTCTATTCTATCTCATCTTCTATGCGATCCTCGTGGGATTCTTCGCGGCCATGCTGGCCATCTTCTACCAGACCCTGGACTCAAAGATGCCCAAGTGGCAGATGGATGGTTCGCTGATCGGCAGTAATCCAGGTAATTGACAAACATTTGTAATAATTTGAATTTATTTATTACTTTAACAGAGTTCATGACAGATGTAGAAGCAATATTATTAATAAGTTTTCTCTCGCTCCAGTTTTACTATATTCGTTTTGCAGGTCTGGGCTTCAGACCGATGCCCGACTCAGCCAACGTGGAGAGCACGCTCATCTACTACAGGGCCAACGACAAGGGTTCCGTGCTCAAGTGGGCTACCGTCATCGATGAGTTCCTTGATCGTAAGACGTAGTTCCTATCATTGATCTCATGTAACAAAATCCAAATTATGCAGGTCACATAACAAAGACAATAATTATCAATAAATAAGAAATAAAACGTACTTATTTTTAACAGTAGTTATAAACAAAATGAATTTCTCAGAGTACCGCAAGAAGGGCAGTGGTGGTGGTGAGGCGTCTGGGGCGGAGAACCGCGTGCCTTGCTCGCCCTCGACCGGCGCGTTGGGCGAGAAGCAGGTGTGCGACGTACCCGTCGACAAGTTCAACCCCTGCACCTCCGCCAACCAGTACAACTACGAGCAGGCCGGTCCCTGCGTCTTCCTCAAGCTCAATAAGGTAAATTAACTTATGCGGAAACATCTGCCTTTTGAACCATGCAGAAATGCGTTAATATTGTGAATCGGTGATTATGAACATGATTTAGGGTTTAATTTACAAACACAATTTTTTTATAGGCAACTTCTTACTGGCGATGAATTCATCCTTAAATCAAAACCAAATTAATACTAACGTCAATTGTCCTCCAGATCTTCAACTGGACCCCTCAGCCGTACAACACCACCGAGGATCTTCCCACGAACATGCCGGAGGATCTCAAGCATCACATCAAGACCATGGTATATCGATAAAGATGCAAATAATATAAGTACAATTTTTTCAGCACAGGAATCAATGGAATACGTAATATGTGGAAATAGGGGACATTTACTACATATACTATAGCACTAAGACGAAAGAGACCTGGCTCCTATAATACGGGTCTAGAACCTAGTTTAGGAAT